CAGCAGGAGAAGCAACATATGTGCTGATGTTTGAGAGCTTCAGAGCATGTGGAACCAAATCCTTCCTTGAATCACAACATTGAAATAATTATTGTGCATCCAAATTGATGTTCCTCCGACTGTCCCAGACGTGTAAGCTCGTAGAGAACAGTCTAGATAGGAAACATGTCTACATATGTAGCCATTTACTGTTGCTTTACATCGAATGTAACTGTACCCATCATAGTCCGAACTGATAGTTTTGCAGCAAAGGATACAACAACAATCTCGAAAAAAAACCAGGCTCACTACAATAGATACGACAAAGCAATGCCAAAAAAGGATTTTCTGCAGTTAAAGTGCTACAGATTCTGTTACCAGCCATACAAGTAATGACTCTTATAGAAGAATCAGACAGTAAAGATTGCAATTTTGTCCTTGAAGATGTTGTCCTCTTTTTCATATCTGAATCAAAATCAATATCTAATTAAAAAGAAAACAAATTTGGCATCAGGTCAATAAAAAGATGTGGTAAGTGTTTTTTTTAATTGATGCAAACAATCAAATAAATATCTACATGCTATATACCTAAGATCCCTATCGACGCTAACAATTTGCACTTGGCGATTGCTTCGAAGGAATCATCCAACTAAATGAGGCAAAAAATTGGTTTATATCCATGCCAGGATACTCAGACTGGAGATACTTTTTAACTGAAATCTTACTTCGTAAAGCATTTTTCTTTCCACCTTTTGGAGCTTTAAAATGCTTCAAAAGATATAGATATCTATCTTTAAAGGTGCCTGAACTTGTAACTCTTTTCCGCTCGCCAGCGCTACTTATCACCAGCATTTGGCCAATCTACAGGAACATATGGTAAGCCTTCGCCAGAGTCATACTCATAAACTGGATAAAGTTGAAGCCCAGTTTCATTGATTCTAGAAGCACTCCCATTATATACAACATGTAAACGACTCTCCCCAACCTCCTTCTTCGAAGACATTTAGCTGGAAATCTCTAACTCTGTTGATACCAATGGAAGTCTGAAACCATAGAAAAATAAAGAAATGTCAGAATTCCACAATAGAAAGCAAACCATTTTTGGCTATAAAATATTAGAGAAAAAACCAATCAAAGGAGAAAAGCCAAAAGTTGGGCATATTCTCCAGGAAAACAAGATAGCTAATTTTCAACCCGAAGAAGTTATGCTTCAGATGAAGATAAATGTTAGACCTTTCAGCATGAGCTACAAAAATACTCTCCTCCCAAGGAAACATCAAAGCTGATCAGCAGAATGTTTGTGTATAATGCAGCATGCTTATCATAAATACCTAAAGTTCAAAGCCACCTTTGGTATGAAATTATTACTAAGATACTTAGAACAATAATTTTGAAGAACTTGGTCAGAAACAACAAAATTTAAAGAATATTTTCAAAACCCAGGCTCACTGCAACAAATATCACAAAACATGGCCGGAAAAGGATTTTTTGTTGTTAAACTGCTACAGATTATGTTACCAACCTTACAAGTAATAGCTCTAATACGGGAATCGGATTGTACATACTGCATTTCTGTCCCTGAAGATGTAGTCCTCTCTTTCATATCCGAGTCAAAATCAATATCTAAATAAAAAGAAAACAAAGTTGGCATCAGGTCAATAAAAAGATATGGTAAGCATTTTTTTAATTGATGCAAACAACCGAATAAATATCTACATGCCATATACCAAAGAACCATGTCGAAGCTAACCTTTTGAGCTTGGGCGATTACATGGCACCACTATTCCCAGCACCGGTGGATATCATGAAGACTTAGGGGTCCGACACTGAATTCGGCACAACACTCACTACCGTGGAGTGCCATAGACGGATGAGTTGATCATGGCTAGGATGTATGGGCTGGAGATGTTGTGCCACCAAAATGGCTGATGGGCGTAGAATGATGTGCAACTGGGGGACGTCAAGAAAAAATACCCATTGAATTCCCATGTGAAGGCCTTACTTGGCATCGGTCCATCATTTCCTGAGCCCGTGGATGATCACATCCTCACCGATGAGGAGAGACATGCGCACTACCTCAGATGTGGAGTCTGATTCTAATGAGGAAGTGGACCCTTCTCAGGCCAGTGATGAGGCCGACATGGAGAGATGTTATGGAGGACTGATCAGGGAGTGTTTTACCTTACCTTTGTACTGAATTTTGTGATTTTGTGAAGCACTGGGATAGTGCTACTGTTTAAGTGTAAGGTGAGGGTAAAAATTATATCTGGTATGTATATATTAATAAACACTAGTAGTGTCTTTGTTTGTCGTTTATTGTTTTCATTTTGGGTTCCTTGGAGGTTGTTTTCGGTTCTTTGGCCAAGGAAAGTCCCTTTGAACCGTATAAAATACAAAAAGATTTTATCTTTTTAAGAATGAGTCAATTATCGTACTTAGGTCGCATTGCCCAATGATAGATGGATGACGACCATCTTAAGGGCAATTTCGTCATTGAGTCTTAGGTTGGTATGTGCTGAAGCTTAAAATTTCGAAAGTAGACTGTATGAATGCATTTGATTTCTTGTATTTGTCTTTAATGATTGCAACTTAAGCTTAAATAAAACCTTGTGCATGAGCTGATTATGTTGATGTGATTGATATATCTTGAGTAGAACTTATGCCATGAGTGGTGAGGTATTGTCGTATCCATGTAATGCATCTGAGTCTAGAACATGCCCGGCATGTTATTAAAGCGAAATGAAAGTACTGAACTTCTTTAAGAAAAGATAATAGACTTTCTTTGCCTTTTCATATGAATGTAGCCTTTTCAAAAATAATATCCATAGTATAGCCCCCTTGAGCTTGTTTGCCTTGATTTTGTTCTAACCTACGTAATTGAGCCGAATTCCTTTTATTGATACCGTCAGTTTTGATCCCAAAGTAATCCCTAATGCACTATGTTAAGATGAAAATAGGGAAAACAATGGTGAGACTAAATAGGGTGGAAATGTTTGGTTTTGTGGAAAAGAAAGAAAAGAGGTAGAAAAATAATGCCCCATAAGTTCCTAATCTATGATTGGCTCTGGTCCCTTGGTCATTGTGCACTTCAACTAAGGTTAAAAGCCTAAGTTGAGGGTCTCTAACTCGGAAAATACCTTAATAATGGCCCTAGTCCTTACAGGGACAATGTGCACCTTAACTCGAGAGAAATCTCTAAGTTGAGGGTGGCTATCGTTAAGTGTAAAAATAATATATATATATATATATACTAGATTCACCGCACGTGGTTGCTTCGTCTTAAGATTGTTACATGCATGATAATATTTTGGTACTCAATCTGGTCCATTTTTTTGTGTGTTTTGCCACTTTTTTGCAAGTCGTTATTATGTGGCCTTGTAGTTCTTTCCACCGGTCGTTTGTTTTGGTATATTTTTTAATAATTTTCATTTTTTGTATTTCTGTTAACCTGTAATACGCATAATAGTTGCATAAATAAATTAGACTCTGGTGTAATTAGCGTTTTCTGTCCATTGAACCTTAAGGCCAAAAAATTCCCACTCAAGCAGTCGTTTTTGGTTTAAGTATTGCAGTAGATGCTGTGACCGCCCTTTTTTTTACCACAGGTTGAATATGTGGTGAAACATCTCATAGATGGTTGTACGATGTGTATTTCCATTTTAGAAATGGGTAACATACCTGCTTAGTTTTGATGTGTACTACTTGGGTGAAGTTATATTCAATCTGAGAAGTGCAGTGTTGATCTTGTTATTTACTTTAATTTGTGATTCCTAATTTTGAAACACTAGTTGACTGTGTATTATACTTATGGTAGTTTTATGTCTAGTCTTTAATCCCTGTACCGTAAGTCATATCTTGTTAATCTACATTTTAGTTGTTCATCCTATGGCTTTGTAAGTCATTATTCATTACAGCCTACTTACTGACCAAACACACATCTGTACTATTTGTGTTATGGAGATTTTAGTCGGGCGCCATCCTCATAATTTGATTGTACGTTATTTATTGTTAAGTAATTGTGCTTGACTTAACAATCTGCCGTATTAGTTATGTTCCATCATGACCCCTTTACAATAAGGTTAAATCATTATGTACTGTGTATTTACATAATTGAATAAATAGACAAGTAATGTCTTATTTGGTAGTTGCCTGATGTTGTTCATATTCTCTCCTCTTCCACCATACTTACGAATTCATCCACCCATCCTTCATTAGCTTCATGTTGTGTGGTGTTTATCCTTGTTTGATTTATTTGAATGTTGGTATTAATCAAATATCTCCTAAAACTTCCTTGTAGACAATATTTCTTGTGTATGCCCCTATGTGTCGCTCTGGTTGTTCAGTCATTACCAATATTTTAGTTGTCTCCATAGATATTACTCTCGATAGTGCCACATACAATTGACCATGTGAGAATACATGTTGTGGTAGGTACAATCCAACATTTGGTATTGTTTGACCTTGTGCCTTATTTATTGTCATTGCAAAACATAAACGTATTGGAAATTGTTTCTGAATAAATTTGAAAGGATAGCCTTCATTCTCGGGTGGTGATAGTTGTATTCTCGGAATAAACACTTGTTTTGTGGCATATTGACCTGTTGTTATTTCTGCATGTATGACATTCTTGTCAAAACCTCTACAAATCAGTCTTGTCCCATTGCACAACCCATTTGAGGGGTCTAGATTTCTCAGCATCATTATGGGTGCATTTTCTTTTAGAACCAACCTAATGCATACAACTTAATCATTTATCAGTTGTATTGTATTTGTAATAGTGCAAATTTTGTTTATTTCATTTGTGTTATGAGCTAACATAATAACAACAGTTATGTATAAGTTTTGATGTATTTGATAATGTACCTATGTGGTGGTAGTCCATTTGGTGTTAAGGTGTTGAGGTATTCTTCTTGATAGTAGTTGTTGGTATCATCTTCCGCTGCGTCAAAGCTGATGTATGTTTTTGTTTCTCCTGGGAATTTTCCAATCATCAATTCATTTAGGTTATCTACAAATTCATTTCAACTTGCTAAGATGGCCCGTTCTGTTATGTACTCAGCAGATCTGTAATTTTGTTCAATGGCTGGGAAAATTTCCCTGACCAATGATTCTTCAGGATTACCATCCTGACTTTGTTGGACAATCATTTGTTGCGGCAGCGCTATCAAGTTTTCTTTTATTGTGGTTTCTTCTCCGTTTCCAATACGCAGCAACAACTCACTGAAAGTTGTATCGGTTCTTGCTCGCATATTTGTCGAAAGTTGTATCTTTTCCATTAAAGGCCACAAATACGACCTTACTAAACTTGCATCTACCGTCTCTACTCGTGCAGATTTTGGTACAACAGGCAGTACTTGTCGAAAGTCGCCTCCAAACACCATGATTTTTCCTCCAAACGGTGCATTTTTATCCATTATATCGCGAAAGCTTCTATCTACTGTTTCAATTGTGTGGCGCTTCGCCATGGGTGCTTCGTCCCATATTATTAATTTGGCCTGTCTAATTAGTTTTGCTCCGCCGCCTTGTTTTGACATATGTGTCATAGTTGCCTCATTTGCTTGTAGGGGTATTCCAAATCTTGAGTGTGTTGTGCGCCCTCCCGGCAATAGTGTTGCTGCCACACCACTGGTTGCACAAGCTAATGCTACTGTGCCTTTTGATCTCACGTTGGCCAGTAATGCCCGATATAGGAATGTTTTCCCGGTTCCCCCAGGACCATCTACAAAGAATAAACCTTCTGTTTCTGAATTGACCCTCTGTATAATGGTATTGAAAGCTTGTTTTTGTTGATGATTCAATTTGGATTCGGCAGCTGCATCCTCAACTGGCACCTTGACATTCATTTATTCTATTATTTCTCTACATTCATGTGTGTTTTGTTGAAGTAATTGTTGTTGTATTTGTGGTATGTCATATTTGTCAACACTTTGTCCCATACTCTCCAAATAATAATTTATACTTTTCAACGTACATTGGAGTTATGCTTCGGTTGTGGTGCAATGGCTCCTTTGAAAGTCTTCAGACATATCACCGTAATATGTGTAACAAAGACTTCTCACATCCGTAGGGTTGCAATGAACTAAGATTGTTGCAAACAAACTTCGAAGTGCTGTTGGCATCTTGAAGGTGACAGCCTCGCGTAAACATTCAGAAATGCTATTATCCGATTCGAATAACCCTCTTTCTTTGGCTGCCACTTTAAATGTTTCACACTGCCTTCCATTAACAGTTAATAAGTTTTCAAATGAAGTGGCTCCTCGTACGTGATTCAATAATAGTCTTTCGTAATACCTTTCTCCACTACAAGAAAAAGCTTTATTTAAGACCAATATTTATGGACGAGTTAATAATCCCGTCTCTAAAAGTAGATGTATTGGGACGAGATTTATTTCGGTCTTTAATTTTGTATGTTTTTAAGAAGGTACTAAATCTGGTCTCTGGAAAAAGTAGTAACTGGTCCCAGATCAAAATTTAGGGGTCTTGAGAATATATATTGAAAGGCAGGAACTGAAATGTAAATAAAAAAACATCTCTTTTCACCAAAATTAGGCGCCTAAAAGATCAGTACTACTGATCGATCAAAGTTCTAAAACTAAAAGAAAAAAATGTCATCGTGAAATCAGAAAACCCTAGCAACGATCTTCCCTCACAACGGTCTCAGGAAACGTACTGGTCTGCCTAGCAGGAAACGCAACCCAGGTCTTTGTGTTTTCTCAAAACAGAGAAAGCAGAGGTCTGCGTAGCAGTGATCTCCACTCAATCTCTATATTCTATTCACTCGAATCTAAGGTATTCCTCTACTTCTACGAGTTGATTTGATTTCTTCTGTAAAGTCAATTTGTTGTTTGTATTTTTCGAGTTATATCTCTTCTTTTTTGAACTCTTGTTCTGTTAGACTAGCTGCTGATCATTTTCTTAAAGAAGATTATGTTTTGTAGTGTGATATGATCCCAAAAATGAAGTGGATCAGTCCTTTAAGAATTAAGTTATAGTTTCGTTGGGTCTGAAGCTAATGAAGTATAAATAGCTAATATCGAGAAGTTGAAAAATACTTCATGAAAAACTAACCACAAAGTCTTTTGATTCTTCTAGACCAACCATACTTAGGAAGGGCTTTGCAAGATTTTCCTCTCCAATTTCTACAAATATGAAAATTCTCTGCAATCGAAAGACATATGTCAATTACACAAATCCAAAAAGGAAGACAAAATCTGGTTCACTAGATTCAGACAAGTGAGAAACCTCTGATTTGAACTTTCTTGCAATGTCTTAAGTCATCACGCTCAGCATTATCAACACCAATATGGCATTGAAACATAGGTAAAAATCCAACAGTTGACACACATTAGTACATGATTGCAGTCTGCTTAAAAAATGCAAGAACTAGGTATACATTGTACAGTGTGTTGGCTGGAGAGATGAGAATTTCCTCATAAAAGTGTTTGTTACAAACTCTATATCCAACAGTAAAAGCTAAGTCCAATCTGGTCAAACAACTATAGATGCTCAAAATTGTAGCGAACTTTGTTAGTAGTCTCCTCTTCTTATTGTACGTGTTTTAATATATATTTGTGAAGGTAAAATGTCCACAAATATCAAAGGCTGACATGGTTTCAACTCTGCTTAAAATATGCAAGAACTAAATATACATTGGACAGTGTGTTTGCTGGAGAGATGAGAATTTCCTCATAAAAGTGTTTGTTACAAACTCTATATCCAACAACAAAATCTAAGTCAAGTCTGGTCAAACAACTATAGATGCTCAGAATTGTACCGACCTTTGTTAGTAGTTTCCTCTTCTTATTGTAGGTGTTTTATATATATGTGAAGGTAAAATGTCCACAAATATCAAAGGCTGACATGGTTTCAATAATACAGGAGAAAAACCTTTGTTTTCTTCACCTTTCTTTCTTAGAGAAATGCAAGTCTTTGTATTATGAAATACTAAGAGGTGCATGAGCATATGAATTACAACTAAATGGAGATGTGAAATATTTTGGGAAACAGATGATGATATAAAGTACAATGAGTTAGGCACAAAAGTTACCTGAAGTTTGTTTGTGTTGGAGTAAACTCTAGCAGCGTTATGTTAGTAAGCACTGTAGTTAAGGGGAACTTGTTATCATCCAAAAACTGCAAGATTCCATCTGTACTGAAGATTCCTTCTATAAACCACATCAATGATATGAATATGTTATTAAGCAATGCAATGCTACTGAAAATGAAGTCTATATTAAAAAATAACTGCAATGTTCCTAGAGATCAGGGAATAAAATAGCCATTTCATCTTTCTAAAATTTTAGTCATCCAATGAATAAGCAGTTTTATATTTAACTTCTCAGCTGCACGCATAGTCAGGAACAACCATCTATTATGAGAGAATAGTAATGCTTGAGAAAGGAGGTGGTGTAAAGTGTAACTCTAGAATCTAAAAATAGGAAACCTACCATGTTCAGTGTATTTCTTTGGCTCACTTTTAACTAGACCAAGGAAAAGACTGGTTGGCTTAAAATCAGGGAAAAGGTGCTTGGCAATTTCTGCATTGTTAGCTATTTTCTATTTGTTCAAGTTTCATGTAAGCCTCCTCTTTTGGAACCTGATTTTTTCTTCTTCTCTATATTTGATTTGGTCGAGTTACACTACTTGTTTGAATTACTTTTATTCTCTGAGATTAGCTGGTCAATTTTTTTGAAGTATATTAAAGTTTGTAGCGTGATAAGATCCCATAAACGAAGGGGATCAGTCGTAGGAGAAACAAATGTTCCTAAAGAAACAAAATAGTGAACTACTCTTAAACAGATGCACTCATAGGTCATGCATTAAAACAATGTTCAGAGAGAAGATATAGGAATTTGTATTCGACTGAAGAAATCTATTCGGAATTACAAGTGAACGATTGTTTACCTTTCAAGACTAACAGAGCACGCCGGAAAGTGTCTGCAGTTATTAAAACTGATCCAAATATATAGCCACACGCAACTAAATCTTAAAAAGATTTCTATCTAACTAAAATAAATTAGTAATTGCAAAAGAACCACTGAATTATTATCTACTGTAAATGAATCCTATTATAGTGTTTTGTGTGTGTCTAAGGAATCGATCATATTTTCTTACAATCAAATTAACTCGAACTCACAAAAGATGTAAGAAGCAAAAGAACTAATACAAATTACCTCGTGTGGGGTTGTACATAGAAGGTAGAAATAGTGATAGTTCCATTTGAGTTTCAAACTTAGCTAACTTGAGATCTTTCAAGAGACTTGAGATCTTTCAAGAGATACATTCTTATAGTTGCACCATATATTCGTCCATTCCTATCAAACTCAATCACCACAAATTTATCAAAAAAGCTATAAAAATAGATTGTAATTAACTTTTAGAAGGTTAAAGATGCAACTGAGTTCTTACAGTTATACTTCATGTGATTCCATATATAGAAGGTAGATACAATGATAGTTCTCTTTGGGTTTGAAACTTTACAAACTCGAGATCTTTCAAGAAGAAACATTCTTATAGTTGTACCACATATTCTTCTATTCTTGTAAAATTCAAGCTCGACAAATTTAGCAAAATGACTATAAATAACAGATTGTAAGTCGTGTGCATCTTAAAATTTACAAAAACATATGTAAATAACATATTGTAAGTTGTAAATAATAGATTGAATTTAATTTTGATAACTTAATGCACTAGTTACAAAATCACAAGTTGTGTGCATTTTATATTTTTTCTTACCGTTTATATTTTCTTATTCTATTTTGATGTGTTCTCCAAGGTTATGGCACCTAGTAAGCAATGGATGCAACTTTCTCTTGATAATCGGGTCGACCAAGCCTATTTAGATGGGGTGAAAAAGTTTTTGGATTATGCTTTTCAGGGATCAAGAGAAGAAGATAAAATACAATGCCCATGTTACAAATGTTGTAATACATAATTAGGAACTCGTGAGATGATTGATGGAGGAGTTGCCCACACTGGTTTTGCTGACCAAGTAAGTAACAATTTACCAAATTCTATTTGCAGATAGTCGTTTAAGCATTTAGTGTATGGCTGAACTCTTAGATGATTGATCGTGTTTAAAGGAATTTCTTCACTTCTAATGTTCTTCACCCATTAATTGTACTTTTTGCAACATAAATTCCATAGTAGTTTAAGAACTGCTATATTCCAACAGTAATGCCTAGAATATTAAGTCCACCTGATGTTTTATGCATACACACTTTATCCCATGCTATCATTGCTTTCTTTGTGACTTCCACTCCACCTGTCCACAGAAAGGTTTTACATGTTTGTTCAATGAGTTTTATCACTTTTGTTGGCAGGACAAAAATCTGTGACCAATACACTCTATGGAGAACAACAGAGTTATTCATATATGAATCCTTATACATATGCTGGGTTACTGCTGATTTTGTTGATAAAACAAAGTTATTTTATACATATGTTCCGAGTTATTTTAATGTTTGTGTCGTTTCTTCTCTAGATAGAAATTGAAAAACTGATTTGCATTCAGTTTTAGCCTTTTAGAAGCGACAACAGTAGTAATAGCTACCACATCTGAAATGCTTCAGTTGTTCCGAGTTATTTTAATGTTTACATCGTTTCTTCTCTTGACAGAAATTGGAAAACTATTTTGCATTAAGTTTTAGCCTTTTAGCAGCTACAACAGTAGTAATAGCTACCACCTTTGAAATGCTTCAGTTGTTCCGAGTTATTTTAATGTTTGCGTCGTTTTTTCTCTAGACAAAATTTGAAAAACTGATACGCATTCAGTTTTAGCCTTTTAGATGTCTTCGAAATTGTTACTTCTTGTGTGCTAGTGCATATAAGTAACAGAGTCATTACACTCAACCATATACAGAATCTCTCAGCCCCTATATACACTCAACCATATGTAAATTCTGCTTTGTCCACTAAGAATAAGATTACAAGATAAAAATGTCAGGAAAGAAGCAGTAACAACATTGTAGCCTCACAGTAACAACATCCTATCCATATACAGAATCTATCGGCCCCTATAAGACTTATCCCTTTTGAATAGACTTTTATCGATGCAAGAAGAACTTTGACATCACTCTCATGGTTATTAATAGAATTTTTTGATATCTGCTGCCGCTGTACATCAAGTTTCCCATCCATATAAAGAATCTCTTCGCCTAAAGTTCAGCAAAACAGAGATTTGAGTTGCACCTTGATCTAGTTTAGAGGATCAAGTAACTCGCTAAATCTGTGTCATTAGAATTGCTTAACATATCATTGCCTTCTTTATCTCTGTTTTTTAATTTTCTAGACATACAATTGCAGGTACACAGTTTGAGATTGTTTGGCTCCTACAAGAATTAACGATGAGAAGAAAACAGTGATAGCTTGTTTGTTTCCCCTGCTACAATAATAACCTGCTGGTTTATATATGAAACAGTGATATATCATGCTTGTTTAGTTACTCTGCAACAACTTGTTTCCCCTAAAACATAATATAATCTTCTTGGTGGAGAATTTCTCCATTTGTGCTAGCTTATGTCACTGAATTTGTGCTTTCGGTATAGATTTGGATTCTTGGTGAATGCATCTCATCAAAGTTTTCGTAATAATTTTTTCTTATGTTCTTGCAGCTTGTTGATATTCTGGATAACCCTTGGTTAATTTTAGAGTTGTTTTGTGAAGAATGAAGCTACAAGTCAAGATGCAAGTTTAGAAGATGCACACGACCATTATTATTTTTCTAGGAAAGTTGTGCAAAACAAGAAATCATAGTCTAGCTCGGGATATTGTTAATTTGCTAAAAAAAATTGTTAATTAAATGTTGAAACTAACACCATGCGATGTTTACCTACTTTTATATTTATATCAGCCTTTTGTATGGACATTTACCGTAGCGATCTTATATTTATTGGTAGAACTTATAATACTTTTGTAAAATGAAGATCCAGAATCATCGGTGGTCAATTAGAGACCAAAGACTTTGCTCGTCTCTAAAAGTTTCATCTAGGATTAGAAAACTTCTTGTCCCTAAAGGTTCATCTAGGATGAGGTGTTGCTTGTCTCGAAAAACAATCTAGGACGACGTGGTTGCTCTTCAAGAAAGAGTAATCTAGGACGAGGTAGCTGCTCGTCCCTAAAGAGTAATCTAGGACGAGTTAGTTGCTAGTCTCTAAAGGGTTTAATGACCAGAAAATGACTAGTTTTTAAGGAAGAAAATATCTATTTGGGACGAGATATGTAGTCTCTAAACATACTTTGGTGACCAGCTTTGATTCCGTCATTAAACACATTTAGCGACCAGTTAAAAGAGCCCGTCCCAATTAACCTTTAGCGAAGAAGCATTTTAGGACGGGTGGCGACCAGCCTTTTCCCGTCTCTAGGATTTGCTGTGGTATTGAGTAGATTCATTTAGTATCTTCATTGTGTGTGATTAATTAATATGTACAGTAAGTGTAATTGTCTTACCAATATTTATGTGTCCAATGACTGTGCGTGATTTTCTCTTTGTCCATATTTTGGATTGTGTGTTCCATAAATAATGTTCCGGGAACTCTCTGTAAATATAATTGCGAGCCTCCGTGTCTATAGAGCACATCCTAAAATACTCCGTAAGCATAGTTTTTTGTACAAAGTCTGATTGCAGAATACTTTGTAGATTTTGCTTCTTCCAATAGCACACTACATATGGTTTAGTCATTATAACATAAACTGATGTTCTATGTAGGGTAGAAACTACTTTTGTAAATCGCATTTTTAATAAAATTGTTAAATACCTGCTTGTTTGCCCGGAATATGTAATTGTAGATTCATAAGTGCCGGTTGCATTTCAGTTAGATTAAACTCATATATTCTCCACATTGCTTCTGGTGGTGAGACCCATCGTGCATCTTGGAAGCTTCTGATTTCATCAATGAATTATTCCCCATCGTCAGATTCTATATATACGGCACATTTATCGTGGCCTTTATATATATATTTGTAAAGATATTTTATTGCTTTAACTCCTGAGCAGACTTCAACATTAATGTGGCAATTATATCTCATCAATAAATAGGGATTATAAGGTACAACCCATTGGTTATTCATCTTCATTCCACGGACCTCACTTGTTCTCCCATCATTTCTTCTTTTGTAAATTGGATAACTATCCTTTCCTTGTATTGTTTTGTTAGTGAATGTTCTTGGGTAGTGGAATTTACATTGTCCATCTTTCATACACAGGCTCGACTTACGTTTATCCCCGCAAGGTCCATGTATCATATGTTTGATAACTAATGCGCTCAATTCTGGATGTGTGTCTTTATTAGGGATTTCTGCACTAATGTATTTATCATACTCATCTAGTGATCGTATTTTGTTTCCTTCTTTAAATATTAGAAGTAGGTGTATATGTGGTAAGCCTCTCTTCTGGAATTCTACAACAAAGACATGTGTTGCGATGGGTCCGAATATTTCTTGTTTTAAAATTTGATCTTTCAAGTCTTGCAATTTTGCTCGAAATACTCTGGTTACCAAATCGGGTCTATCTTGAGGGCGTTGTCCTAGACGCAATTGTTCCTGAATCTCAACCCAATCTGGGTTACATGTCATGGTGATGAAAACATCTGGTCGTCCAAACTCCTGAACCAAAGCCATTGCATCCATATATCGGCGGCGCATATCCCTAGGCCCTCCAATGAATGATCCTGATAGAAATACCCTTTGTCCTACCTTGTCTCCTCTATACTCACCGGCACTGACACTGTCAACAATACCTTCGAGTATCTCCCTTCGATAATTTGATTGCTCGAATCTATAATATTCTAGTCTGGTTGTTTCTATCTTAATGTATATGTCCACCACAAATTGCTGCAACAATCTCCCACACAGTAATAGTATTGATTTATCACCCGTTCGTACTTGTAGTCTATAACAATAGTACTCCCTACATGAAATACAGCCTTTTGTTTCACATTGTACAACTACATGAATTGTTACGAAATAGACTTAGATAGCTTATCCATATAAGGTTAGTAGTAGCAGTATATTTTAAGTTAAAAGGTGTAATATGATAGTCCAATGATAGTATATTATTGTCGGATATATTGAAAGGTGCTTACCTTGTGCTTCATTGGCCAACAACCCCACAACAGTTGTGGATGATAATCTTGCCGATTTGATACTTGTATTTGTAGGTGTTTGGCTGTTGTTGATCTGTTTGCGACATTTTTGTATTCCTTGGTGCCAACCTGCTTCTCCTTTAGGTAAAATTAACGGATATTGAAGCGGATCATAACAACCATAATAATGTTTTACTCGATGTTTATTTCCTGAATGTTCATGTACTGCAATATCTCTTTCAAATGGTGTATTTGGATTGTTTCCGTCTACCCAAATTGCTGCGACCTGATCCACCGACGGTTTGTTATATACCCTTTGATCTAATGAAGCATTTGCAGCTATGCGTACTTGCAGATTTTGTATGTTTGTATGTTCTTTAAGCCGTGAGAAGAATTCTGCATATGGATTCCCCTCCATTATATTTCTTAATTTGGTCATGACTTCCTCTGATAAATTTGCATCTTGTAGTACCGTCATTCTATTGGCTAATTCATGGTCAGTATCATAGAAGTATAGTTGAAAGTATCGTGGTCTGTCATTGTTTGGAATTAACGATGGTAGATCATGATATATCTGACCTTCTGCCTTGAAACTGTAAACTCCTTTCCTAGAAGATGCCAATTCTTTGTCGAGCTTAACTCCAAATGATGTAAAAGCAAATATGCTATTATACGCACGTATATTTTTCCTGAATAATTTTGCGTCATCTGAATCCACCACAAATAATTCATAAAAGTCATCTGCCACTTCATTGGGTGCTAAATTGATACATCCACTTGCGCAACAGAATGTTGGTGGCTCATAATCAAACCTCAAAGCATGGCAATATGTGCAATCCTGGTTTTTTTTTCAATCTATGAGTTGATGGTTGTCTGAAGTTTCCATTAGTAAGCCCTATAGCACAAACCATAATAATATATAGTTAGAGAATGTTATTTTATGTTGACAACCATTTTTTGGAATAACTTTTGGTGTAGAATTTTTGATCAAATATACCGCCGTCAACATTATCCTCAGCTATAGCTAGACGTTTCACTTTTTTTTGCTGCTTCTTCACTCGGGGTTCATGAACATGGGCATCTTCAATTTGATCATTCGAGGGCAGTACTCTTTCCACTGTTTGCAGCGGCTTGTCTACATCCATCAGTATATTATGTTTCACCCCTGGTGCAAATAGGATGTGATGATGTTATAATTTTCAATCTTTAGTCGGCCTGATAGGTGAAATTTGTCATTAAAATGACATTTTGCTAAGCATACCTGTTGTTCTGAGCGGCTTTTTCAAGTGATCTTCCATGGTTTATTGAACTGTCCTGAAGGTAATGGTCTCCTGTTTGGAAGTACTGTTATTTATGTATAGGTCGTCAAGTTGTCCTAATATATACGTAACATGAAAGTATGTATCTAAGACGATAGGTTTAGTATCATTTGATTAGCAAATTGATTAATTCCTGTATGAAATAACAGAAAGCATATTCCGTTTTACAGATGGGAATATATGTTTTATCACCACCATACGGTAGACCAAAAAATGTTTGATGGAGCCATTGTTTTAGTACCATCCTGGATGAAGGGGCTGCCCTGTGTGTATATTTGTATTTTGGAATAAATGAATAAAGTCGAGGCCATTATTGTGTGTATTTTACAGAGCATGCTAATTTGTACCTTGGCGAATATGTGCAGGGAATTGAAGGGAACTTACAGTGTTTATTACACGATGAGTGATGTTGCTGTGTTATTTTGAACTCGCGCAGGTGGTCTTTAATGTGAAAACAGAACAAAGAGCGTGCAAATTGAATCGATAGACGTTGCGACTATATGAAAGTATGACCGGTTCCCAATGTGTTGGTATTGCGTATCGACTAAACAATGGTATGTGATGAGTACAATATTCGAAAAGATACTGGTAAACTTGATGAAGGTGTAAACTTTTCTGATTAATTTCACTGTGATGCTGGAGTACATTTGTGTTTTTAAGATGGGTTTGTTGAAGCAGTTGAACTGATTGAAGAGGCAACTTTTGCAGCGATTTGCAATTAAAAACCAGAAAGTTGTGATTTTCCAGAATGTTGTGATGTTGCAGAGAAGGCGTGACTGTTGACTGATGTGTCGCTGCTCGTGATGTGTCGTATTATTTTGTGGGTTTTTTTTTTGGGTTTTAAAATTGTAGTGGTTATGTTTTGTAGGATTCTATAGTTTCAGGCAATGGGTGTTTGCTGTAAACATGGAATGTGGTGTAATGAAATATTTTTAATTGTTAACAGTATTTAATTGTTATTGTTTCATAGGATTTTGAATGGCTGATAATATGTATTTAGTTTATGCCACTTTGCTAATTAATGTAAGGGCGGTATTAAAGTTTATTTTATATTAATACGATCACCTTAATTGTTGATATTGTATCAATAAAGTAACTTCATTTAACGATCTGTTAGTTAAGATCCGGCATTGATTGGAGGATGTATAATTCACCATTGTCCATATTGTTCCTGTATGATCGGAAAGTGGCCATTATTATAACGATTTTTAACAAAGCCATGGAGTAGCAATTGGCGTGAAATTGGGCAGGGGAACTCTACCTAATCCATAAGATAAAGGCTATTTCTATACCAATTGCAATAGGCCGATTAGGTAGTTGAAAATTGGTCATTTAATTTAAGGGAAAAATACTGCCGACACAGTGGAAGCAAAGAATATACTAAGAAGAGTAATACTTGAACATGACATTTAATTCAAGATGATGTATATCGTACTTGCGTAACAAATGGAATTTTCATTTGAATCAGATATAAAATTAACAATTAGTAAGTAGTTATGAAGATAGAAACATTGAAGATGGAGTAAAAGCTACACATTGTTTACATACATATTTCTGAAAATACATCTACTTTCTATTGATTTTTTGTTTCTTTTGTTTGATTTGGGCCGCTCCTTCTTTGTTTTTCTTGGCCCTCTTCCTGTATGTTGTTACTGATTTGGCTTCGTCTTCCACGATAGGTGGCGCTTCATCTTCCACCTGATGTATTTCCTCAGCAATTAAGCTATGTCGGGGGTTTGGGTCATTCATATCAATTCTGACAAGAAAGTTGAATTGATTGCCTTTACTCAACACCAATTTGCGGTAGTAGTAACATTTTTCCTTCTTGATAAGATGTAAGGAATTGGATATGTTAGTTGGTAAGGTTGCCATAACGGTAAAATTTACACTATATAAATATCCCCTTACATTCAGTCAACTCTATACATTAAGTTCATACCTTTACTAAGTTTGATTCGATGTACTCTTGCACGTTACAACCTAATATATATTTAGCTGCTTCAAAAAGAATGACTCGAGCACGACGCTCTCCATTACACACCTCAAGTCGTAAGCAATACCTTCAAAATAGAGGGTTGTAACTTTAATATATTGTGTTTAGTAATTAGTAAATATTGAATCTTGTTTAAAAACAGTATAACTGCATTTCATATTCCACATTGTCACTATTGCAATTGTTACAAGCGGCAGTGTCTTCTATAAATTGCACTTTTTTGTGGCACTTTTTGCAAGCCGAATACCATGGCTCATCTTTATTGAGTATGTCTTTAATTGTTGCTTTGAACTTGTACATACAATCCTGCACATCGCCAATCAAACATATTTGAGAATATACATTGAACAAACAAATGAGTTTATTTTACGGATAGTTGAAGTATAAGTTAGTATGTACCTCTGAATCAGTGAAAAACCCATCTAGAATTTTGGCCAATGGAACTTCAATGGCTCTTTTCATTACCTTAGTAGGCGTTATTGTAAGATCTTTGTTGTCGGCCTTTATGATTTCACGCCTGTATTTGCGATGTGGTTAGTTAACTATATCACCCATTTAGAGTGAGGTATGTACGGTGTATAGTATTGTCAATTTTTCAGTCATTTTAATATGTAAGTTTAGAACAATCATAATAGAGGAAATATGTACTGTTATAGAAATGTTCAATTGCAATTGACAGTTTGGTTAAACTAATAATGGAGAATATATTTGTGAAGTATGTAATGTATTGTAACACCCCGTATCTGAAATGGACCAAAAATGCAGATTTTGAGAAGTTGCAGGTGCAACTTACGGTCGCCATCCACGGACCGTAGGTCAGACCACGGCCCGTGCTGGTGGTCCGTGGTTCACCACTGCAACCCCTCCCAGCCAGCTCAGAAAAAATTGGCTAAGTCTCGACCCACGGACAGACCCACGGTCCGTAGATTAGACCACGGTCCGTGGTCTGTGTTCGTGGATCAAGACCTCCTTTACCCAGCCTCTGACATGAACTACGGGTGACCAGCACGGACCGTCGTTCGATCCACGGTCCGTAGGTCTGACCGTAGATCGAAGGATAGCAGCCAGTTAGCTGAAAATTCTGATGGGTCAACTTCAGATGGTCATAACTTTTAACACAAAATGAATTATGTGTCCCATGACCTATGGTTAGATAGATAATTGAATTATCTTTCCAACTCCACCGAGTTTGCTAAATTCCAACCTCCGAGTAAAAGGTTATGCCCGTTTTAGTGAAGCCTTGTCGGGCAGACTTGATCTACGGACCCAATCGACGGACCGTCGATTGATTGACGGACCGTCAGTCCATTCCGTCGATCACTCCGACAGCAGTTAATTCAGGGGTCTTTTGGTCTTTACCTATTTCGTTTAACCCCTAAGATACGTCGTTTAGACCCTAAATCATGAGGTTTTAATTAGTTTAAGCCTAGAAACATAACTAGAACTTACCTAAGTCAAATTCATTAATCAAAACTTAGAAAATTAGAAGAAAGAGAGGAGAAAAAGGTCAAGAACCCTAGTTCAAGAACGCAGCAAGTTTTCTTCAGTTCCAGCCCCAAAATCGAAAGATTTCTCCGTGGAATTCGTCACCAGGTATGTGGGATTTCACTAATGGGTTCCTTTCGCCCATTAGGTCCCTAGAATTCAGTCAGATTCTTGATTCCATGATTATGAACAGACCCAGGGTTTCTAGAATCTCAACAGATCATCATGAATTAGTTATTTAAATGTTCCAAATCAGATTATCATGTTAATGCTCAGTTTATCGCATAAATTTCAGAACCCTAGCTATGTATTTCATTAGTTCTTGAATTACACATGCTAGGTCAGATATTTCAGTTATTCAGATATACATGCTCCAGTTTTATGCCACATTATCAGTATATTTCAGTATACACCCTATTTTGAGTTATAAATCTTGAGAAGGTTTTCTTTAAGACAACACTTGAGTTTTAAACTGAGTTTTTGAGAAAGTTAAGATGAGTTTGAGAAAGAGCTTCTAAAACATGATTAGTATGACAATTGAGTAGGTCATCAATGTATGAATAGTATGGTATCTAGATATACCATCAATGTTTATGCAGTATGACTTCCCAAGTCATCAATGATCAGAGTATTGTTTTCTAAAAAGGAGTTTCCAAGTATGAGTATCTACATGTCAGTATTTTAAGCTATTCAGTATTTCAGTCATAATATATTAAGTTATACATGCCTCAGTTTATGAATGCATCATTATCAGATTAATTATTGCATTCTCAGTTTGCATGTTCAGTTTCGAGCTATCCAGTATTTATAGAAATTCAGTCATAACCAGTTAACTACTTAATTCATTGGGAGTAGCATAATACCGAGTTGGACTAGGGTTTCAGCGTACCCATATAGTCCCAGAACTACGAGCCACATAGGTGTAAGTCCCCTCTGTGGGCAGCATCAGTTTAGTGATCACGCCAGCATGCCTCTATACCTCTGGCAGGGTATATTGGGTCCTCTCGATGGGGCGTATACATCGGACTCCACATTTAGCTCATGTGGTTTTATGTCGGTTATTAGTAGCTCCCACAGTTCAGTCAGACTCTATTGCATTGACCACATTTATAGTTCATTCAGTATTCAGTCAGCATGTTATAAATTGGTCATTGCATTCAGTTAGCTCAGTATTCAGTATTTATATCATGTTCAGATTATTTCATTGCTTTATTGCTTTGTTCAGTTATATGTTATTTCAGCTCTACTCTATCCTGCATGCTCAGTACCTTTCAAGTACTGACATATACGTGCGCTACATCTTCTCGTGATGTAGGTTCAGGTTCTCAGCATCCAGATCAGGCTTAAATCGGTTCCCGATCTCCAGTTCAGCAGAATCAGTGGTGAGTCCTCATTCTCCGAGGACAATAGTCACGAGTTTCTTTTCAGTATTTTTAGTCTTTAGTTTTAGTTTTGCTAGATCTAGTTGGGGCATGTCCCAACATTTCTAGTCAGTTTAGAGGCTTATTTCAGACATAGCTAGATTCAGCTTAGTGTTTTGAGTTTGATATTTCTTTTGTATTAAACTCTCAGATTTCATATATTCAGTTACAGTATATGGGTATTCCCCATCTTTTCAGATTTATTTATGATTTAGCTTCCACATCAGTTTATTATCTTTAGTATGCTCATGATCATGCCAGCAGGGTTAGCTTGGGATCACTTGTGGTCCTAGGTCCCGTGTCCGCGTCTCGGGGGTAGCTCGGGGCGTGACATGTATCATGCTCGAAGGTCGTTTTCTTTTTGAAACGTTGGATTGATCAAGACACTGCTCACAGGAATAGTAGAGATCCCAAATCGGCCTAGTGTGACAAGAGCATTTTAACGATTAGAAACAATGACTATAGGAATTTGATAGTTGATAAATAGCGACAATACACTGTCACTACCTTTAAAGATTGAGACTCTGACGTCACATAAGGCCAGAATAGGCTTATCATCTTGCAGCTTTTCGAGGAATGAACCGTCATTTTCAGCAAAATCTCCCCATAGAGTGACGGTTGTATGTTCCATGCTGAAATAATTGTTACAAGTGAATAGTTAAGACATCATCTTTTCTATATGCACATGGAAGTAAATGCATCATTGCAATTTACAGCTGATTTGTAACAACTATTTCCCGTCTTTTGGATTTAACATTTTGAATGAGGAGATTCACCGAAACTAAAACGCAAATCAAGTCTGGAAATAGATCATGTAAATTAGAGATTAGAATAACGTAATGGGGCATGAAAATAACAGCTTAGTTGTGTGGATAGTTACCTAGAATAGCACCATTAGGTAATTTATCAGCATGTTCCACTGATAAAAAGCCATCTGAGAATTTGTGAGTTGAAACCGCATGCTTAGTCTCTTGTATGATTGTATTGTCTGTAAAGGCCAATTCAACTTCTTTGTGGACAGAAGAGTAGTTGGGATTGACGTGATCTAAGCGCCCTTTGGCGATGTAGTAACTCTTATTTGGCTTCAAAGAGTCCTTCCGTGTCTCGATATGCTTATTAAACAGTGTTGCTTGAATCTTTGTCCCCTATTATTAAGTGGCGGAGGGATGGGATAAGTTCAACAAACATGAACCATAGTAAAATAAGGTAAATAAAAGTGTGAATGTTGTTACCTCTTCATCAACTAATATTATAGTTCGGAAAGTTCCTTCATGCTTTGAATTCTTGTAAGGTATTATTGAACCCCTGCGAATAACTAAGACCCGCATAACGGAATCAACAGAGTTTTTTGGTATATTGTTTATCAATAAACTCTGTTTTGCTAGTTCCGTTTCAGCCGCCATTTCGGTTATATCTGGATGAATGCAGGTACCTGGCGAAATAAGTGAAACAATGTTAACATTGGGCGTAATTGTGTATGGCGACGATTGATGAGGGTAGCGTCTGGTAATAGTATGCAACATTTGGCGGAAATTTCATGCAATTAAGACATTAGCAGTAAGTTGTAATGTGCGAGATATATAAGGTTAGCACTAACATATATATGAACATATGTTAACAGTAATAAGATGTAAAGATGCCATTCTTAAGATTTGAAGTTTCCCAAATATAGGACTTTTATAGTTGCAATTGGCAGGGAATTATATATCTGTAAAGATGCCATTCCTAAGGTTAGAAGTACCCCAAATATAGGACTTTTATAGTTGCAATTGGAAGGGAATTATATATGTGTAGGCGAGGTAGTCGTAATGTTGCAGCAACGGGGAGGATCAAAGTGGATGAGTGGATTGTTCGTGTAGCCATTATAAAGTATGGAATATGTTTCACAGTGTGCTTGCAATATGTGCAGGCGAGGTAGTCGTATTGATGCAGCAAGGGGGAGGATCAAAGTGAATGAGTGGATTGTACTGGTAGGCATTATACAGTGTGGAATGTGTTTAACATTGTGTGCTTGCAGAATGGTGTGAGCATATATATGGTGCCAAGTAGTCCTGTCCCTGAAAAGGGATTCACTTACAACTTGTCTAGAAGCAGGGCAGAGAGCCAGATTATGTGTTTGTAAGTTTGCTGCGTGAAGAAAAACCAAATTAAAAAGTGAAGGAAACTGATAGATTCAGTAAGGTAGTATTGAGAAGGAGAGGGTGCGTTGATGCAAACCCGTGTGTTAAGCGTAATATACGTTCGATGGGTAGAAGTAATTGAGTTTATGAGTTATATATTGTGGGAAGCGATGAGTTGCGACTGTTTGATAATTCTGGCCGGACGTGTTTGTTCAATTTCAAAGGATTGGAAGTGGTGGCGTTTCAGAATGGTTGTGTAGTGTACGAAAGGCCATTTTAAAAGTTCAACAGGGGGAAGTGGCGGCTTATGCGATAGTATGCATATAGTGTGGGTGGTGTAGGATGGAATAAGGGTTACTTAGTAATTTACCTTTAAGTTAGGAGGGTTATTTAGTAATTTACCATTAAGTTAGGAGTTGGTGCTTTTAAGGTAATATATATATATGGGGATGTGCAAAAATAAGGGCGAGGTTGGAAGTAGTAGTGGGAAAATAAGCAGAGAAGGGGGCCAAAGAAAGGAAAAAGTTGGGAATGTAGCAAGAAGATCGTAAAAGGTGCATTAGGGAGGATAAGTCACTAATTTTATCTAAATGTATCCTCCCTTACCTCAAGGTTACACTACAATCCATAAACTCATGTTTGATTTTGAGCAAAGCACACTTAATTTGTGGAGATGTACATAAAGGGCAAGCTTATGGTTCTCAATGCAGGCATGTATGATGTCTTTGTTAAGTGACAGTGTACTATGTTTGTGAAGTCCTTAAACTATATTCAATGTGTTGTGTTGAGTGTACGGACTATTCTGTTGAGTGAGGGGCACTTGTTGTATGAAATATAGGTGATGAGTAATGGTGCACATGAAGTTGTATGCATTGGTTGCAAAAAGTTGTCAAGTCAATTATATGAGTTGTATAATGTATGAAAGTGGGAAAGGCCTATTTTGAGTGAAAACATGCTTGTTTTAACTGATTACATATCCTTGAAAGGAAGTGGTAGATGCACAAATACTAGAGTATGGAGTCTAGGTCTAGGATTAGTTATTAAGTTGTTGGAGGACGAACAAGGCTCTAAGTGTGGGGTAGTGATCTTAGGCGTATTTTCCATTTGCGGGTATAGTTTTCAAGGATGCAGTTTAGGTTGTGAACATAACGTAGGGATTTTTTGGCCAAAAACTCAGAGAACTACATATGTATGAAGGAAGAAAGACATACATAAATAAAGTTCCCTTGAACATTTCATTGTGTTTTGATTATTATCGATTCACTCCAAAAAGGCATATTATTCCCCACACAAATTCAAACTAAAGAGACAAGTAACAAAGTATCAATATCTGCATTTGTTGGTTCATAAATCATATTATCTCTTCCTTCAGTTCATTAGCGAGACTCCATCTACATCATCTTGAACAACATTTTTGCTGATTAGCGCCTAAATCTTTATCATTAGGGCCTCCATCGTGACCATTAGTACCTACATATTTTTCATTAATACCCCAATCTTGATCAGCAATTTGTTCATTCGCGCCTCCAACTTGTTCCTCGTAATGCTGAAGAAACGTTACCTCATTCCAGTAAGGCAAATCACCATATCTCTGCCACAAAATACTCATTCATATCAACACCTTAAAAGTCTCAATTCACAAATTTGTTAATTAGAATCTTACAATTTCATCAAATTCTTCCTACTTTATCTTGTAAATTCTGTCTGCGGGCTGCAATATTGAGAAATCATATTTTTTTTGTATATAAAAAAAAGAACAAAATCTTCTTGTTCGTAAAAATCAAATACTTCTTACAGTTTGGCACTCCACATCGGGCACAATAAGCATCGACTAGAATACAGTCATCTACAACTTGATGATATATATCGTCATGGGGTATATGCACATTAAACATGCATATGCATACACAGACCGCATAATCATCTATAAAACTCAATTTCGAAATATATATCAATAAACAGACCTTCCTGAATGTTTGGCTCCTGCAAGATATACAAGACATAAAAATTAAGTATAGAAAATTCAGATTATTACTACCTTTTTGGAAAAAATGAAGCAGAGAGGATGGGAATTTCCGTACAAAGCTAATAAAATCCTCGACGAATCCAACTCCAGTTTTGCACACACAACAATAGATGCAATAACGAATAGGAAGATCATTGTATTCAAGTTTATTCTATCAACTATGTTGATTGTATCAAGAAGTTGTTGTTGGGTTTTAAGAGACGTGAATGGAAAATGATATTGTTGAAAATATGCACAAGTTGGATAAATTGCAATTTGTACACGTGGATTGTTATGATCAAGCAATTAAATTAACATAAACCAACTTGTTTATAAAATGTAACTTGACAACATGAATTTCTAAACCATAAGCTAAGTAAATTGTTATAAGTGAATGAAAATTAGACGAGAACAAAATTTGTGCATCAAGACTCATGAAACCTATTAATACTCGTTATTGCTCACTAATCCTGAATTTTCATATAATGGTTGAACTTAAAATTTACGTTATCTCATTTGTGTCAGGTATCTCATGGTGCATCTTCGGAGCTAGGTGGGCTCACATTGTGGTGTCAATCGCTTAGTCACGCTAGACCTGTCTCTTTTGCCATATGTCACTTTCTGACAGATCTATCATCGAGCTTGATCAGTTTTACGGTATATAGATTTTCACGCCTCTGACCTACATCCCGGGCATGGCCGACACATAGAAACCATTTCTGGTCCTAGGTGAACCCTTGGTCTGGCTGACTACTGCGCGGAAGACTAAACATACATGCAGAAGCCTTATAAAATAAACATTTAAAATCAATTAAATATATCTCATAAAAAAGTCTTAAACAAATTTGAATATGAATAATGACACTAATGTTTAAAGTTCTAAATACAAAATACGTAATTGACTCACTGACTTTGTCTATCTATGAAGGCACTACTAACTAAAGATAGGTGTTGGGACAAGACTCATGACTACCTGACTATTCAACTAAAAAATTCAGAAAAATTAAATAAACTATACTAACTAAATTAGTGCCCCCCCCCTCCCCGGAAGTTAGGAGGTCTCACCAATGCTAGTGGAAAGTGATCTTACTGAACGTCTGCTATCAAGACTACCCTAAACTGCATCATAAAATGATGTAGCGTCAAATGGCATCAATATATAGAATGTAGGGTATGTAATATGATTGAATGAAATAAATAATTGACCTAAAAAGAAACTTAAAGTACCCTGACTGAAAGTAAAACATGAACATGAGGTGAAATCATTAAAGCTCTACAATGAGATATGCAATAATAGCAAAATACTGAAATAATACTTTATTTTTCTTGGGGAGTTTCTCTAATCGAAAACCATCACTATGAGCCTCGTGATAATACAATGTCTAGCACATGTTGCTAGTGATCCTATACCTTGCCGGAGTATAGGACAACAAAGCTTAACCTATGGATCCATCTGAAAAGCCCTCAATAAGGCTGTGTGGAGTCACCCAAATCAACGACATGATCCTATCTACACTGGCGACACAATTTATGGATTTTGAGTCGTTAACTCTTACCCAAATCAGTGCTCAATACTACTCCCAAAACATGTAATAATGCTTATACGGTAAAGATGTCCCCTTTTAGGGGAAAACTGAAAATCTGATACTTTGAGTCTATGCTCAATGATACTTCTTTAAAACTGGACTGGACTGAACTTAAATGAACTTGACTATGCTTTTATGAAAATATTATTTTGACTCACTAATTTGCATACTCTTTTATCAATGCATCGAACTTACTTTAAAAGCTGATTGAAAATTCTTTCTCTAAAACTGATTATGCTTTGTTTAAACTAGTCTTGTTTTCTTGATGAAGATAATGCATAAGAACTGATATATCATGGCTTTCATAAATTTCATAATTAAATATGGTTCATGGGGTGAAATAAGCATGATCAATGATTAAGAATCATCTAATTAATTATAATACTAAAATAGATACAACAAAATCAATAATTCATGCTAAGAAAGTAAGCAGAACCCTCGAATGTAGTAAGCCTTGGGTTTGAAACCCTAGTTGAACCTTGTTATCTGAAATTTAGATGTAGGGAGTGAGGAAGAACTCATAAACTCAATATGATACCTTAACGTACCTTGAATTATTGAAATTGAAACTCTAAATGTTTGAAGAGAAACGCTAAAAGTCTCTTCTTGAACTTTAGGATGAGTTCTTGTTTTCGCTAGATATGAGAGAAAGATTTGATGTTAGAATCTTATTAAGAATTCCTTATTAAAGATTGATTTTTGTAGAACTACTTTAGATATAGAGTAACATACCCTGGTATTAAAGATGCAGGAGATAAGAGAATTTGAGAGAAAATAAGTCGTAGGTCGTCCAAGATGAACTTTATAATGAC